AAGTGGGAAAAAGAAATTGTTTACACCAGTTCGTGATCGACATGAATTTGAAAACTTGCCAAAAGATCGTTATTTTGAGCAAATCCAAACGATTACCGCTGACGATATTATACCACCAACACAAGATGGAGATGGTAGGTTATAAACGTCGCTGAATTAATTGACCATCTCGTACTTAACTATTATGCTTCTTTAGTAAAACAGTCTGTGCATTTGCCTGTGTGCTCAAAATACTAGTTCTAGACAAGTCTTGTTCCTTGACGAATGGATACAGTTTCCAGATGATCTGGAAAACTTTGTTCCCTCAATTTCTGAAATGAGTTATAATGGATATTGTACAATGTTCTTACTTTGTCCTCTTGTTTAGACTCTGAACGAGTGGTCTTTATTAACCGTTATGGAGGAAGTGTTATTCGAATAAAACATCTTAAAAGTAAAAAGATCAAATCCATTCCATTATCGCAAATTCCGAATGACTCTTCGAATGTTGTTTAAATACCTGTTCTACAAAATAAACAAAGAGGAAAATCACAACAGAACATAATCAGATTAAATCATCATTTAATCATGCACAAGTTTGACAAACTGATGGCACAAAGATCATTCTACCTTTACAAGGTAAATGGTTGGTGCGATACTAATACAACATAATTTTTAAAATATCTATTAAATCTAACAAATTTTTATTTTCAATTTCTTTTATCGATTCATTGATTGAAATAGTTTTTCATTTTTTTCTTCTTTCTCTCAATTAGAAAATAATTTCTGATATATTATCAAAATAAATGCAATAGCCGTTGTTTTACATGATAATCTTTGGTATTTTTTTATATTACATATATCTGTCTGGTTTGACACATGATCTAGCTGAACTTCAAACACATGTGTATATGCAATTTTTTCTCCGTGATATTTATTCATCAGGTTCCATCACGAGTTCACTTATAACATCGTTTTCCTCCCATTTTCTCTTGGCTCTACTCATTGTTACTTTAGTTCTTACGTTCCATATCAACTTTTATTTGTTTCTGTTTTATATGAAAATCAATTGGCTACTTTAGTATGCTCGACGTTACTCTCAATTCACACTTGTTGTTATAATGGTAAAATTTCACCGTTTTTAGAAAAAGAAATCATTGGCTTCTTCAACTATTGACAAAACTAAATACAGGATGATTTAATTATGTTGTCAAATGAAGAATTATCCTTCTCATTTCCACTCAAACCACAATCAACTCAAATCAATGAGCCATTAGAATATGATAGACTATGTTCACCAATGTCTCACTCAACACCTCAATCAAGGCGAATAAGTAAAGAAAATTGTCGTTCGATCTCAACACAAAATATTCCAATTATCAAACAACGGCGTGGTATATTTTCATCAACATTTCGCTCGTTGACAAATGTCACACCATTAGCAAGAGATATTACGTACGATTTAAGCTCAAATGATCACACACTATTATTTAGTACCACACCTGTAAAACTACAGTTACAATTAAATATAGACGGAGATGTAAATGATCGACACAGACAACAGCAACGGCAAAGTGAACAAGTGCAATTATCAATAATGAAAATGATTGAGCAAAAGGAAACATTCCTATCAACACCAATGGATCAGCAACAAGTGCAACTTCCGAACGAAGACGAAGTACAGGAAACATTAGAAGTAAAGAATAAATCATCACCATCGAATCTAAAAGAAAAAATTGATGATTCACTTGAACCGATTGACGTCGAGATGGACAAATCACTGCTAACAGAACATGTGCCATATCCACCACCATTAATTCTATATTCACAAGCTATACGAAAAAACAATCAAAAACAACTCGTTAGAGAAAATACACGTAAGTTTGTTTTCTCGTGATAGAATGTTTAACATTCTTCTGGTATGAAAAAACATTTTTTCACGTATAGTAACTAATACGTCATTGAAAAGTCTTCCCAGAAAACCAGCCAATTATTCATTTGTATTAAGTGGTTTGGGAGAAAGGTATGAGTAATTTTTAAATCGGCTTCTTGTTAGATATTTGTTTCTTTTTTAGTCAACGTATTAAAGTTCAAAGTCTTGTACGTAAAATGGGTGATTGTTATTTACAAACCTATGTTGAATTGTCTACCACTCATATTATTATGAATTATGATGAAAATAAACCTCCAGAAGAACAAATAACAATGGAAATTATTTTGGCTATGCTATACGGTTGTCCTATTGTAACACTAGATTGGATAATGAGATCAGTTAAAGTTGGTGAATGGTTACCGTGTAAAAAATATGAAATATTATCAAAAAAAGTTCAATCTGTTAAAACGTATAAAAAAGCACGTCAGAATGGTGAACGGATAATTTTGTTTCAAGAGTGTGGAGATATCTATTTAACATCAACAACAAAATATCCGAGAGACGATTTATTAAAAATGATTGTTTTTTCCGGAGGAAATGTACGTATCAAACAAAGAAGAGATTTTTAGAAATTACTTTTGCTCTACGACACATATTCATTCCATCTAAGAATCTGAAAGATAAAAGTTGTGGCTAAAGCTTTTTTCTTTAATTATAGACGACCATTTGTCGAAATCGTGCTAAAGTTGTTGTTGGAAAATCGTCAAAATCACTTAAAGTCATTGCATATCCTAATGTGAAAGAAGAATGGGTGATAGGTAAATGGTTTTATTATTGCTACTGATCGATCAATAGTTTCAGTTTACTACTTTTGCTCAATCTCATCCACTGAGGTTTAGAAGTAGCTGATTTAATTATGTTTATTTTCTTCATTTAGACTCAATCAAAGAAGGCAAAGTTTTACCATATGAAAATTATCTATTGGATTAAAAATAAACTTTATTGTCCTTCTCATAGTTCCTTTCCTTATCAGTGTGTTTCAAACAAAATCTTATCTTTCTTTGTTGCTTTTTTCAGTTACTAATTTCAGATGTCAAGTCAGATATATATGTTTTTCTCTATTTCTTCTTACTCGATGCTTTCTACATTACTATCCCTTTTAAAATAGAATGGTCTTTCACTGGTTTTTTTGAATAATGTTTTGTACAAAAAAAATAAATTGCAATTTTTGCTATTATCTGGCCAATATGTAAAGATGGACTGACGGAAAAACTGAATTGAGATGCAGACAATGTACCTAATGGCTACTGATCTGCACCTTCCTCCATCGATCTACGAAAGTTTGAAGTCGTCAGCGGTTGTCACTTACAAGAGAACACTACCAAGTGTAAGCCATTGTTAAATCAAGAAATGTCATTGATTCGAAACGTTCTTTTATTACTACATTTCAATCTGAGCTAGTTTTACGTCAGAATTTTAGAGTCAACTAGCTACAATCCAGTTGACTTTCAAATTGAAGAGTAAACTAGTTGACTTCTAAAGGCAATTGAGTTTTAGGGTCAACTCTGACATATACTTATCACAGAAATATTCGAACATTCAACTCTTCTACTTCTTGAGTAACTAGATATTTTGTTTCTAAGAGTACACCGTAAAGGTCGTACCCAAGAAAACCGTTTCAGAAAATATGATTTTCCTTGACAAAATGGAAAAAAAAGATCCAGTTACTCAAGGAGTAGAAGACTTGGAAGTCCGAATATTTTTGTGATATGTATACACCATTAGTACGGTTTCAGCCTTTACTTTCTCGTTTTAACGGAAATATAAAAATTTTAGTGTTACTGGGGGTCAATTTACAAAAAAATTTAGGCCGTCATTTAAGTCTAAGTTTAAGATCGACTTAAGTCGGGACGAAAAGACTTAAGTTGGTGATTTGTTTACTTTTTGAAAGTCGTCGACAACAGTGACAAACTTGGGATAAAAGCCCGCAGAAATAATGAAATGTTTATACTCTAATCTTAAAAAGTTGTTTTCATCGAATCGTATCGTCAAATGCCTGAACTATTCGAAAAATACGTCAATGACTTAAGTTTTCCGTCTTAACTTTAAGACTACATTTCCCATAACTTAAGTTTTTTTGTAATACGAACATCGTGGGCACAAATCTTTTTCGACTTTCTCTTAGAACAATATTTGATTCTATAGGCATATAAGCATTGAAAATGGAGGGTTACACTTGGGGGGTATTTGTAAACTACGCTCCCATCCACACCCACCCCCAAACTAAATTTTAATTACATGATTGGATAGAGGATGCCGAGTTGTCTTCACACCCACCCATATTTTTACTGAAATACTGTTAAAACAAAAGGAAGTGGAAGTAGGAGCAGGAAAGAGTTTTAGTAAAGAAATCGTTCCACTATTGTATAATAAACAACTGAGAAATGTTGAACATACATTTAGACATGTTAACCTCTTGCTCTACCTTCCTTTGGAATGAGAGATTATCCTAGGTGCAATTACTTAGTACCCTCTAAAAAATAAAGGTATTATAAAATACGACAAATGGTATAACCATTTGAACCATATCATAACTGTTTAAACGTTTTTTACTTTTATCAGAAAACTCCTTTGGGATTTTTAGAATATGAAAAAGCCATGATTTAAAAAATCCTGAATTGCTTTGGTATTTTAAAATACCTGAAAGGTTTTTTTGTGACATGAAGAAGCCTCAACCGTTTTTCAGAATATAATTTAGCCGTATTTTAGAAAACGAAAATTAGTTTTTTGATAAGAATAAGAAACTTTTAAACAGTTATGATATGTTTCAAATGGTTATACCCTTTAAACGTTTTTCACGTGTGGTTATACCT